TTAAGAGAATAGTTTTTTAGGTGTAGAAAGTCTCAAATTCAGGATCTTCCGCTGCGCGAATTACCTGAGAACGAAGTCATAGGCACGAGGTTCAGGGCTAGACCGACTACTCCAAGAGCACTCATCCATAAACCGGTTACTGGTACAATAACATAAGAAATGTAACCAACGTTTAACTGATGTGTTATCCATGTCAGAGATTTGAAGAACACGCGAGGTGAGAGGGGTTTAAAATATTGGCTTTGAACAACTATAAGTGTCTGGATGAATCTTCTTTGAGTATAGGGACCGGGATGACAAACGCTAACAAGTACAAGTGCCTACGAGGCTATTCTGCCTATTTATTTTAAATAAATATTATTTAAAAAAATTATATTTTATAGATACCTTTTAATATTTATAGCAAAATATCTAATTTTGGTTACCTCCTACCCCAAAGCCACTAAATACGCTATTCGGTTACACTATTTTCTTTCTCTCTCTACTTTGATACATGTCATTCTCTTCTCCCATCCCATTAAAATTTCCGCTCTCCTCCTCCTTCTAACGACATCTTCTCTTTGCTTCACTTTAATCAATGCTTCAAAATCGAGCGACCCAATTCCTACACCATGGCCAAAACAATTCCACTTGATTCTCTTCATGAATAAAACCAAAGGGAATCTTTAGGTTGTTGATTGTGGTACGATTATCCCAATGGCAGGAACTTCAACATTATCCAAAACCAATTGGTAAAGCGATAAACTCGAGGTTCTCAACTTCCGTCATCTTCAATACAAGATTCAAGCTTTAATAGAATCCTTATTCTGCCACCATTGCTCGACGGCGGATTCGCGGGAAATTAGAGTTTGTTCTTGAACAAAGACGACAATGACAAATCGAAAGAAGTCCAAGTTGTATTCATATGTATTCAACATATTGTATTAATTTGTATTCAACATCTTGCATTCATATGGATTCAACAGGTTGCATTAATATTAATTTAACAGGTTGTATTCATCTGTATTTCAACGGGTTGTATTTATCTATATTCATTAGGTTTTATTCATATGTATTCACCAGGTTATATTCATATATTTTCCACAGGTTTTATTCATATGTATTTAACAGGTTGTCTTCATATATATTTAGATGTATTTACATATATTAGGAGTCTATGAGACCTTTATACAATACATATTTAGACCTTCATATGTGTATAACAGATTGTATTAATATGTATTCAGGGGTATTTGAATACATGTATTTAATATTAAGAGATCATATACAATCCCTGATACAAAAGTCGTTTCGTATTTATACGTATTCAGAAAAAAGAATCAGTTCTGATGAATGAAATATTACATCTTTTTACAATACAATCATATCGTATGTATATAACAGATTGTATTCATCTGTATTCAGATGTATTCAAATACATATATTCAATATTCAAAGATCATATACCAACTATGTATTCAGATTTTATTCATATCTGTATTCAGAGATCATGAATTAATATAATAGCCGTATTGTAAATATGTATTCAGATTTAATACACCAACTAAATATATGCAGAATATATTCGCGAAAAAAAAAAGCCAACATGTATCATTGGTTGACCAATTTCTGTAAATGAATGTATCAATTCTCTGTTTTATTTGTTTAACACAGAAGCACACACGGAAAAAAAAAGAGAAAAGGGAAGAAACAGACTATCGGCGAATGCTATGTTTTGATGTATATAACATTTTAGGAAAATAATTCAGATTATTCGCGTAAAAAATGATTATGGGTGATGCAATTGGGTTAGTTGAGTTATATTAGGAGTCTACTATGTTAATTTATACACTTTCCGTTAAAAAAATATATGAATAGACCTGGAATTGCGCAGTTTACGTTACGACATACAGTCGAATACAGTCACATACACCTACATATATTCGTCTATCAAGTTGTAGCCCCATGTTTCGCGCCGACTTTTGCTACTGTATTCATGAATACAATAGCTTAAATACATCTTATAACAACAGTGTTGACTTATGTGAGTCCACCAAACAATAGAGTACCTGGTCCTCTATGAGACTGATACGTAGAATGCAGTAAGGACTGAATGTAAAGAAGGCCAGAGATTTTCTACGTGAAAAAAACCCACACAAGGGGATCAAAAAACCATGACCTATACCTGTAGGCTTTAAACTCAACTAACTTGTAATCTACCTATTACAAGCCACTTTGCAAACACCCTTTTGCAAAGACTTCAAACTAACTTGTGATGTACCACCACAAGCCACTCTATAACTCTCCTAGTTATAGAGGATTTAACTTATGGCTATTCCTAGTCACAACATAAACTCTAAGGTTTACAAATTTGGTTTGTTCCTAAGACAGCGCTTCTAAGAAAGCAAACTAGGAATTACAGTATAGAACAATTAACAAGATTACAACTCAACTATGGACGTACATAAGACTCGGTTAGAAACTGATCCTTAGTGGAGTTGTCTTCTTGTTCTTGACACACCAGTGACTTCAATGCTAGATGAACTTTGTTATGCTTGAGAGAATATCACTGAATGCACAAGGAATAGTATATCTTGCACCAGGTTGTTTTATCACAAAAGATGTCACAATAGATAGTGATGTCAACTCAAGGTGATGTCAACTCAAGGTGTATACTTCTTCCCAATGAGAAGTGACTGTTGTACAATCTGCACAGCCACTTCTGGGCAGTTGCATTCCAGCTGGATAGTGGGCTTTGTATTTCTGTCAGGACACACCAACAGACCAGGTCCTAGTTGTGTTCCTCTTCTGTACCAGTTGCCAGATGGTTACTTTCTTCTGTCACGTTCCAACTGTGTACTTGACTTGTACTTTTTGTCAGAGAACCCTAAAGCAGTAGGTCCCTGTTGTGTTCCTCTTTATCTTTATTGCGTACAGTCACTGACTTGCTTGTGTCAAAGAACCTTAAAGGGCCAGATCATCAGGTCCCTGTTGTATTCCTCCCTTTGCTGATTTTCAGGCTTCGATCAGTTCATATGAAATGTATATCTTGTCTGTCACTATCTGGTTCTTCATGACAAGTTTGTTAGATCATCAAAACATAAAATACTAAAAACCCATCAATTCCCCCCTTTTTGATGATGACAAACTTAGGCATGGACAGTATTTGTTTACAGCAAAAATAACCAGATGAGATGCCAATAGTTCCCCCTTAATCTAAGATCTCCCCTCACACTTCTTCTTTTTCCCCCTTTTGGCATCACTAAAAAGGAGAGGAATTAAAAATAGCACCAGCAGTTAAGAAGCATAAAGAAGTCTAACACAGCTAGCTCATGCCACATATGTGCACGCAACATGACAGAAAAGAGAAGCCAAAGGAACATAGGATTGTACAAGCAACGAAAAGGAAGCTATTTCATTAATGTTTACATTGGACTGAGTAATTCAGGAGCATTAATAGTTAAGTACAACATGCCATCACAACAAAAACATGCAAACAAAAGTAAAACAACAACCACAGGAGGTTGGAGCAAAAATAGCTTGACACAAGGAGGATCCTAGGGGGATACTAGAGGAAGGAGGCTTGGAAGAAGAGACATCCATGATTTTGAAAACCAGGTCCAGTCTAGCATTTGCGGACAATTGTTCTTCAAGTAATTGAGCCCGAAGTCTCTCATTTTCCTTTGTCAGTCGTGTAATCTCCTCATGTACAGAATCTGGTTCTTTAACTGCTTGACTGAGCTGAGTTTCCAGTATGGCATTTTGAGCCCTCAACCTTCTTATTTCCTCAGAGG